ATTATGTCAGTTAAGCCCAGAATAATTATTGGTGGGCTCACATAATATGTATAGCGCGGTAAGGAAAGGCGTTATATATATAGCGCCTTTTAAAAGGGTGCTATACCTTAACGGGCAAACGACCGTTAAGGTATAGCGCCCTTTAAAAGGGCGTTATACATATTTTGGTCTCTATATTTTTTTTCACATATTTTAGTTCTTTGAGTTCAAAAGAAACACATTTTGGTTCCGGACTCCTTACATTAGGATTGTGGATAATTTGGTAAATACCGAATTACCGTACCAAAATCAAAAATTTTGGTATTTAGAATTTGATATTTTGGTATTCGGTATGGTATTTGGTTTCTGTTTTAAAAAGAAATTGGTATTAGGTATGGTATTTGGTATTTTAAAATAAAATACCGAAATACCGATATCATACCGAAATATAAATTACATTACACAATAGATATATTATTAATTATAATATAAATATAAAAAATCTAAAATTTTACTTTCCTTTATTGTCTAAGTTCATCAATTAACTCTAAGCAAGTAACATGACATTTTTATTGATCAAATTTATTCTTTTATGTACATTTTTGTCTCTCTAGGTTGATATTTGCTAATTTTGGACAACTTTTATCAACTAACATTTTTAGTTTTGTACTTTTGAGTACTTTAATAAAGAATATTACAATCTATGACTCTATGCACTAATTAATATTCAAATCGAATAAACCGAAGTTACTGAACCGAATAAACCGAAATCGAAAGGAGAAAAACTGAACCATACCGAATTTAATTAGGTACGGTATTGGTATAATATTTTAAGAAATCAAATATCAAAAATACTGAACCGAAATATCTAAATACCGTACTGTACCGACCGACGAACACCCCTAACTTACGTACATACGCTCCTCTTGTTCTGATTGTGGAGGATTTTGCTTTTAAACCACCTTTTTAAGCTTCACCCAAACATCCTCTTTATCTTAATATATCTAGCATACCTAATTTTCTAGTTCTAGTAAAAAACAATCAATTTTTTTGTATGCAAATGATTAAGCGAAAATCTTACGTATTAAATGTTATTTCCCTCGCCAAAGAAACAAACATCAATTATTCGATAATTATTTTCCTCTTTCTTTGCTAAACGTAGATAAGATTAGGAATGACGATATTCGGGAGAAGGTGCACGTGGTACCTATTGATGACAAGATGCGGGAAGCGAGGCTTAGATGGTTCGGACATGTTCAGAGGAGAAGCCCAGATGCTCCGGTACGGAGGTGTGAGCGGCTGGTTGTGGAGGGCACGAGAAGAGGTAGAGGGCGGCCTAAGAAGTATTGGGGAGAGGTGATCAGGCAAGATATGGCGAGGCTCCAGATTTTCGAGGATATGATACTTGATAGGAAGATGTGGAGGTCGAGTATTAGGGTTGTAGGTTAGGAGGTAGTTGAGTCGTGCCTTACTTCATACCATTGTGGGACTAGCCATGTAGGGTTTTTGTCTAAGATAGCTAGTGGCAATGTCGTGTCTTACTATTTCGCTTTTCAATGCAGGTCCTATTTACTAGTTATCGCTTTTGCTTTGTATCTTTCTTCTGGATTTCATGGTGTTTCTACTTTTCTTATGATTGCTGTGGTGATATTAATATTGTCTCCCTTTGATTTGCATCTTTCTTTTGGATTTCATGGTGTTCCTATTTTTCCTATGATTGATGTGGTGTTACTAACATTGTTCCTTTTGTCCTTTTGTCTTTTTGTTTTCTTGAGCCGAGGGTCTTTCGGAAACAACCTCTCTACTCTTTCAGGGTAGGGGTAAGGTCTGCGTACACACTACCATCCCCAGACCCCATTAATGAAATTTTACCGAGTTGTTGTTGTTGATGTTGTTTTCTTTGCTAAACGTGCATAAGTTGCTACTATTAAGGAATTATGCCATGCTAAATAGTACTAAAGCTAAGTAAGAAACTACAAGCCACCGTTGAAATTTCCAATTTTCTTTTCTGTCTCCTTCTTTCTTCTTTCTTTTCTGTTCACTATCAAGGAAAGATGACTGTGGAATATTAGGGCTTCAGCTCCACGAGCTCCCTCTCATCAGAGACGAACCCAGTATTTGAGTATGATGGGGGCGCCATTATCATTAGAGTGTATTACCCAAAATTTTATTAGCCAGTAAAAGAATACATTTAAACTCTAGGATAGACCAGTAAATAAGTAGCATATTCCACTATATAATATAAACTTACTAAGCAAAAAACTACAATAAAGTAAAAAGAGCTTACGCTTTGATTTCATCAGACTCCCCAATTGACCCGCGAACACAAGCTCCAACTTCATCATACTCCCAAATTGACCTACGAGCACAAATTTTAAAATAAGTATTCCAAAAAAAATATTATTGCACATCCTTGCGCACACATGAACTAAACTGGAATAAACTTTAAAATGTAAAACAAACTTAGTGGCNCACAGCCTTGCGCACACATGAACTAAACTGGAATAAACTTTAAAATGTAAAACAACCTTAGTGGCCTTAATAGCAATTCGCGACATACAAACAATAATCTACTATTGTCCCAAAAAGAGAACTAAAGAAGGCACAACTTAAATCAAAATACAAACTTCAAACTCATCTCTCCAGGATCGGGATTGAGTAATTTCTCATCAAACTCATCTATAAGATGAGAGGAATTGTTTCTAAGAGTAGAACTTGGTTGAGAAGAATTAAACTTTGTCAAAAATACGTCCATCTCAATTCATAAGAACAAGAATTTCCTACAAAAAACGAGTCCAATAAATTTAAGAGTCTATCAAGAATACAAACAAACACAATATAAATAGAGCAATCACACCCCTTTAATCAAGAATAAAACAAATACAACTTATTGAATACTAATACTATAACTCTACAAAAGGACCACTTGATATCTTCACTAACATTTACTTATAAATTCTAGCTATGTTGCATAATCTAAGTATATTTTAATACTTGATATTTTCACTAACCTTTAAATATAGTGTTCGTTGCTAGCACAGTATAATTGAAATTGCTTCTCAAAATACTTAATTGACTTCTTTTTGTATATCAAGAATCAGAAACTTAAACATAAATTGAAAAATATGGAGACAGTCATTCTTAAACAACCATTCTTAAATAATTTGGAGCGTCTGAAAAATAGAAAGAGAAGCCATTCTTAAAGTTAAATAGCAAAAAATTAAGAGACCACTAAATTTTAGAGAAAATAGAAGCTCAACCTAAACAAAATCATTTGAATAATAGATTTGGGGTTCACCAAGAATACCTTTACTAGAGATTCTTGAATCCAAAATTTTAAACCAATTGCTGCTCATTACATGATAAATCTGCACTATATATATCTTTATGAATATGTGAGTGTGTTCTTGAGTGTTTGATCAAGTTTTATAGCTTTTGTATCTTGGTTGTTGTTTATTGACTTGATTTTAGTATTGTATTTATTTAGATAAAGATTTAAACAAAAGCAGATGTCATCTGTTGTGAGCCCATATTGATATTCAGAGGCGGACCCAGGATTTGAGTATGACGGGGGGCACCATTATCATTAGAGTGTATTACCCAAAACTTTATTAGCCAATAAAAAAATACATATAAACTCTAGGATAGACCAGTAAATAAGTAGCATATTTCACTATATAATATAAACTTGCTAAGCAAAAAATTACAATAAAGTAAAAAGAGCTTACGCTTTGATTTCATCAGACTCCCCAATTGACCCGCGAACACAAGCTCCAACTTCATCATACTCCCAAATTGACCTACGAACACAAATTTTAAAATAAGTATTCCAAAAAAAAAATTATTGCACATCCTTGCGCACACACGAACTAAACTGGAATAAACTTTAAAATATAAAACAAGCTTAGTGGCCTTAATAGCAATTCGCGACACATAAATAATAATCTACTATTGTCCCAAAAAGAGAACTAAAGAAGGCACAACTTAAATCAAAATACAAACTTCAATATTATAGAATATCTTTAATTGATAATAATATTACAAAAGTACATCATCCACTTATACTTGAACTCGACACGTTCTCATACTCTGAAAACGGTCAATCATAGCATCATTGCTTACATTTGCAAATATTTCTTTTTCAAAGTAACAAACTAAACAATCATTTAAAAATGCATCACCAATACTACTACGCAATTCATCTTTGATGTACTTCATGGATGAGAATGCTCTTTCTACCGTTGCAGTCGCGACAGATAAAATTAGAGTTAACTTTACAAGTAGATAAACAAGTGAATATGCCTCCACAAGATTTGCTTTAACCAACACTTTTGCCAAATCACCAATTCCTTTCAAATCCGAGAATCTAGGGTAACCATGTTTCATGTGCAATATAAAAGTGTCAAGTTGGTGACTAAGATCTCGAAGCTTCAATTCACCAAACTCATTTGGATAATACTTGGCCAATGTCATTATTCTTTCCTTATCAAAATTAGCAAACGAATTAGCTGGATTCAAGCTAGCCATACCAAGAAGCAAGTTACCATTAACAACATCAAAATGATTGTTAAGCTCCTGAAGTTGCAAATCAATTAATGTGTAAAAAAGCTCAACACGTAAGTGATATGAGTAAGTAACACTAGAAGGCCTACGCTTCGACTTTCCAGGAATATAGAATTCTTCCATATTGGGCACCAAAATATCATGTTTAGCACAAAACAAAGAGACTTCATCCATTAATGATTTCCATCCTTCATTTCTCATTTATTGTAACCTATCCTTTGTAAGGTTAAGAAATATCATGGCATTGACAATATCTTGCTCTTTCTTCTGTAAAGCTTTACTCAGCTCGTTCGACATCAACAATACCTTTAACATCAAGTGAAGCATGAACACAAATTTAAATGAATTGATTTTACTCAAAAAGGCTTCTGCTTGCAATCTATCATTAGCCTCAGAACCTTCATATTCAATCACCCCAAGCACATGAACAATAGATGCAAACAAAACAACAAAGTTATCTAATGTTTTACAATGTGATCCCCAACGAGTGNCATGAACACAAATTCAAATGAATTGATTTTACTCAAAAAGGCTTCTGCTTGCAATCTATCATTAGCCTCAGAACCTTCATATTCAATCACCCCAAGCACATGAACAATAGATGCAAACAAAACAACAAAGTTATCTAATGTTTTACAATGTGATCCCCAACGAGTGTCACCTGGCCTTTGAAGCCCTCGTTCTTGATTTAATCCTTTCCCACTTTGAACTTCACCACTCTCTAGCAACTGCTCCAATAATTCTGCTTGATGGTCCCGAAGTTTATCTCTACGTTTAAAGGATATTCCAATCACATTCAACACATTAGCAACTATAGCAAAGAAAGTTTCCACCTCCTTATGTTTTTTAGCAACTGCTACAACCGTCAACTGTAATTGATGAGCAAAACAATGAAACCAATGCGCCGAAGGAGTTTCTTGCAAAATTAAAGATTTAAGACCATTCATTTTTCCTTGCATATTACTAGCTCCATCATATCCTTGTCCACGTATTTTGGATGGACTTAATGAGTATTTCATAAGCAAAGAAAGTATTGCTTCCTTCAATGATTTTGCAGAGGTATCACCAACACGAACAAGACCAATAAATGACTCGTTCACTTAGCCTTTTTTGTCAACATACCGCAAAGCAAGGGCCATTTGTTCATGGTATGAAATATCCTTGGACTCGTCAACTAATATCCCGAAATAATTTCCATCTAAATCATTGATTATAGCTTTCACGGTTTCTTGTGCACAAGCACTCACAATGTCCTTTTGAATTTTTGGCGAAGTCATCATATCATTTTTTGGAGCATGTTTCAATATGAATCTATCCACTTGAGGGAGCCTCTTTGCAAGCTATTCCAAAAGCCCTAGAAAAAGGCCTTTGTTTTTTGAAGAATCACTTTCATCGTGACCTCTAAAAGACAATTCAAAGTACAAGAGGAACCTTGCAACATCGATTGATGCATTTAAACGAATTCGGTGCTCATTTCTTTGTTTCTCAGATTGCTTATCAAAAGCAACTTGAATTGATTGGGATTGATTTGATAAGTCTAACATCTTGTTGAAATACTTGTGGTGGAGGCTATTTACTTGACCAACATGTAAAGCAAGTCTTTCCGAAGCTTTATTCCAAGCCTTAAAGCCCGTTTTTGTGAAAGAGTCACCCGTGCTTCCATGAACATTATCATTTTTGAATAAATAACAACATAAATAAAATGCGACATCTTTCTTCACACTATATTCCAACCATCTAGAATACGAATTTTTAAACCAACCTGGACTAAATTTATGCATTTTATTCCTGAATAAAGTTTTAGGAAACTTATAATCAACCGGTTTGCAAGGTCCATTTTGAATGTAGTGTCTTCTTACTTCATCCCGTATTCTAGGACTATATTTATCAATGGGTACTCTCTCTCCAGGATCGGGATTGAGTAATTTCTCATCAAACTCATCTATAAGATGAGAGGAATTGTTTCTAAGAGTAGAACTTGATTGAGAAGAATTAAACTTCGTCAAAAATACGTCCATCTCAATTCATAAGAACAAGAACTTCCTACAAAAAACGAGTCCAATAAATTTAAGAGTCTATCAAGAATACAAACAAATACAATATAAATAGAGCAATCACACCCCTTTTATCAAGAATAAAACAAATACAACTTATTGAATACTAATACTACAACTCTACAAAAGGACCACTTGATATCTTCACTAACATTTACTTGTAAATTCTAGCTATGTTGCATAATTTAATTATATTTTATGAGAGGAATTGAGATTGAGGAAGAAGGGTTCTCTATTTTGAAGTGAGAAGTGACGGCCTAAGAGATGAGTTAACGGGAGGCGAGCTTTGATTTTTGATTGAGGAAGAACCGAAGAAGTGAAGAACTGGAGAAGGGTTTAGTCTTTAAGGAATTGACATTTGGGGCTTTTGATTGGGGTATTGACTATTATCTATAACTATTAAAAATTTAAAATATAATTGAATTGAGAAAGGGTGAAATAAAAAAATTATAAATTAGTGAACTGTTGGCTAGTGACTAATAAATAGTACTATTGCACTAGTATATAATTCCAGTTATAAGAAGTAAAAGAAACTTAAAAAAAGAAAGTAAAAGGCTGGTTTCGAACCCGCATCGTATGACAAGAAGCAGAGCTTATGCTTAGAGGCAGACCATTGCTCCAGGTGTAATTTCGTTAATGAGGGGGCCAAGAAAAATATTTAAGGGGTCCCCAAAGTATATACAGCTATACATAGAATATATATACATGGTTTTTGTTGAAATTAACGGGTTCACGTGACCCCTCAAGGACTGGTGTAGGTCCGCCTCTGCCTCTCATCATTGGTTGTCACTACCAAGTTCAACTACTATTCCTATCGTTTTCTTTCTATCATTTTCCTTCCTTTTAGTTTGCATTAGTGGAAAATCAAAAATTGTGGACGTGTCAAATCTTGGAGGCTTATTGTTTGTTTGGCCAAGCTTTTCCAAGGTCAAAAATATTTTTTTTTAATTTTTTTTTAAAGTTAAAGTCTTTGGCCAAGTTTTTAGATGAAAAAATACTTTTGAGTAGAAGTAGTACCAATTTTGGAGAAGCAAAAAAAATTAATTTTTTCCTATAAGCACTTTTGAAATACTTTTTGCTGCAAATATTAATTGCTGCGTAGAAATACTTTTCAAATTAATTAGTCAAACATAAACTGATTTTAGAAGTTTGGCCAAACAAGCTACCGTTTTGTTTCAATAAAATCCAGCTAAGCCAAACTCACTGGATGCGAAATTTTTTACTTCCAATTTAACAAAAGTAGATAAAACCGAATTTAGAAAAGAGTTTAATTTGAAGATATCATAAATTGGGAGGATGTCAACATAATAAAGCATCCAAAAAGGCCATTAGGCAATATTACAAATTAAGTTATGTAGTACTAAATCAAAAGAACAGTAGATCGCACCTGAAAAGTACAAAGCTTACGTTCCACGTGTCTACTTTTCTCATGTCCCCATAGACTAAAAACATACTTTGACACCAGGGTTGTTCATAAAAACCCGATTTTAATTCAACCGATCAAAAAATTTGATACTTTTTAGGTTTAGTTTGATTTTGATTTTGAATTTTAAAAAGCGATCAAATTTAATTTAGTTTTGATTTTAATAAAAAAATAATCGAAAAAACCGAACCAAACCGACTATAGAAGTAGCTGTTTAAATTTATTATAACACACACACACACACAAATATACATACATACATATATATATA